TCAAGATCAAACCTACTGTTTGAGTCTGTCGAACTCTCATCTGATTTGATTCTCTGACGGAGAATACAACTAATTCATGTCTGGTTTAAAGTTGAACCAGACTCTCTACCTTTCTTTGATGGTGCTAAAATTCTATGAAACACTAATTCTCTTAATCATCTGAGATTTTATTTCTCCAAACTTTTCGTTCTGAGCTTTTTCTCTTTAAAGCTTTAACACAATTAACCATTTCTTGAAACGATAACAAATTCAAAACCAGTAACACTCTTTTAATTTAAGGCGCAAGTTCTAACAACAAATCACATGTATCATTTTCAGTCGGAATTAACTCAGTAGCAATTCTGCTTAGCTTAATAAACTTATAATCATACTCATACAAGGTGTAATTCTCTTGTTTCAAGCTCGTGTATTCCAGTTTCATCCGTCTTATAAACTGGTCATCAATGCACTTATTCTTGAAATTTTATACAATTTTAATCACATCATTTAATCTTTTGACGTTCTTATGGTGACAATTGTCCACCATACTCTAACTTACCAAAGTAGTAACAAAACTACTCAATTCAACATCTCCACTTTGAAGAAATGAAAACCTTCTATCATATCATTCAACCAAAGGTCTATAACAATAGAACCTTTCTCAAATCCACCCTTGAACTTGGTTGCTCGCAACTTTATCAACTAATTTGATACATTCATTCTATGAGTTAAAGAAGTATAAATTGAAAACACATCAGAACATTCTTCAATATGAAGAATAATTTTCCAAATTTTATACAGGCATTTCCTGAGGTGTTCGCTCTTCTCCCTGCCTGGCCAGGGTAGGTAAATGCTATTACCTTCAGGTTTATTACCTTTCACTTCGTTCGAAGCTCTTATTATCATACTTCTATTATCACATAATAATCTATTTTTATTAGCAAGACAGCATACTCCTTACACTATCAAATCAGAATTTTTCACTTTGAGTTGGCATGTACACTTTTTAAACACTTTTGACTTCGATTTAAGCCTAGAATCGGCTAAACCGTAGCTCTGATACCATTAAATGTAACACCCCCAACCCGTATCCGACCCGGATACGAGTCCGAAGTGTCGTATTGACTTTTCAAACCTTTATTCGTATAAAATAGTGAGTAATTTTAAAAAAAATTATACATTTAACTTATTCAAATCATTTACAAAACTATTCAGAGCTTATTCAATATATTCTTTTGATTACATGCCAACTAGAACTTTATATAAAAAATATACATATTATTCACCTCTCTTCTGATCTGACATTCGGTAAGGAGAACTGACCTGCCTTGTTCCTCTTTACTTCTCTTTTCGCTTTCCAAACCTACGTGTGAAACAATCACACGCTAAGTCGATGACTTAGTGAGGCATATAAAACATATAATATTTCATATAACATAAATCATACATAAACATATACCATCATTATCATAATCTCTATCGTTATCATTAAGAAACACATATAACATCATATGGTTCATGTAACACATTTCAAACCACTTACTTTTGATAACCATTTATAAACCCATCGTATACATATCACATTCAGTATGTTTGTTTAATCTCTTTATTAGCCCATGTACACTAGTGAGAACTTAAGGTATGTGAGTACATTGAGGTTGTGCATACATATGTTGTCACCACAACTCATATAAATATCCCGAAGGACCACATATCATTCCTTAAGAATCATATACATATGCCAAGGATCAAGTATGTGTCTCACCAGACTTCACACATGTTCCAAAGAATACATATATGTCCCGAAGGACCAATCCAGAGGTCATAAAGATCCTCGATAACTATCCAGAGGTCATAAAGATCCTTGGCAAATGTCTATAGGTTCCGAAGAACCTAGGTAAACTGTCCATATGTTCCTTAGAACATAGGTATACTGTCCATATGTCTCGAAAGACATAGGTAATGCTGTCCATATGTTCCGTAGAACATAGGTATACCCTCGACTCTTGGCATGCCAACTATACCCCTAGCTCTCATATCACATAACATGGGCATTATCATTTATAACATTTCATATCACTTGTTATTTCTCTTCTGTCACATACCACATGTATGTGTAACCATATCATATATTCATATAAGCTCATGGTTTCATTCACATATACATGTAATCACGTAGTTCATGTCAATTCTCATATGAGTTCATATTCATATAAACATATGATTCACCCTCATGTATCACATATACTTTCTCTTTCATATTGCTCATAACATTTCTCATGTGTTCATATGACATGTAACTCATTGTCATCTTATCATGTTATCACATAAACATATCATCTTACAATACATACAAAACATATCAATACCTATATTCACATATACCTATCATTTCATTATCCTTATTATTATTCTTATCATCACCATTAATCCCTTTTACTTACCATATTCATATCAATAACACATATACTCATGCACACATATAAATCATAACAAATACATACTTCTATGAATTCATGTTTTTCACTATTGGAAATAGACTTATCACAAGTCTTATTTTCCCTTGAACCTCATATACTAGAGAATGTGCACTCACCTTAGCTTTGTTTTGATTCGATTATAATCCTTCAATTGATCCAGAACGGGATCACGTTCTATATCTACATCATCATACATAGATCTATATTAGTATTATAACTAATATACTCTAATGGTTCACTCTTTAGACTAAGAGAAAAGGCAATTTCATCTTTTAATGAAGGTATGCATCGATGCACTACTGATGCATCGGTCCATAAAATGTATTCGATGTTGTATTATTTCTGGGATACATTGATGCACTACTTATGCATCGATGCACGAATTGCATTCGATGTATTTATTTTAAAAGAGTGCATCGATGCACTTCCTGTGCATCAATACACCTTCAAACGATTTCTGGGTTTTAACCTTGATGTATCGATGCACTATGAATGTGCATCGATGCACTCTGCCCAGAACCTCTTTTTGAACCCGAAAATTCATTCTTTTTGGATTAAATCCTTCATATTTCAACCCCTTTCATATTCCTAACTTTCATTTACATACTTAAACTCATTAATTTTTCATTTATCTCATCTTTAACCTCTAAATTCCATCTTTCATATGGAAATTCAAGAATCATACTCAATTTCTAACATGTTCCAAATTCCATTCAATTGCTTCTAACTTCTTAATTAGACCCTTGACAAGTCAAATCCAACTTTAGAACTTCAAAAACCTTTCTATAACAAAAGTTCATTTATAAACCCTTAATAGAAATTCCTTTCTAATTCTCTCTCTTTAGTTTTTTAAACTTATATAAGCTTTCCTTAAGCTTATATAACCCTCAAAGACTCAAATCCAACTTAAAACTTTCAAGAAATCAAAAGCTAAATCAAACTTACCTTTGCTCTTGGCTTCCACGTAAAGAAGAAGAAGAAAGGAGAAGAGAACTCTGGAGAACTCTCTCCCTTTCCACATGTATTTATCCTTACCAATCCCATTTTAATTCATTTCTTGGTTAATTGACCTTTTTGCCCTTTATTTCCTTTAATAATTACTAAATAACCTTCATCATATATATCCAATAATCATTAAACTATTTCATTCTTCTACTTTAGTCATCAAATTCTGAAACTTTACAATTTGGTCACTAACCCATAATTTGGGATGTTACATTGATGGCCATTGAAGGAGATTCAATTGTATCTTCTAAATCAAATGATTTAAATTCATATTCTTTTGATGAGTTACAATATGCTTATTATGAGTTCTATTTGGAATTTGAGACCATGTATTCCAAATATAAGAAATTAATTTCAAAACTCAAAGTTGAAAATGATTTGGTTTTGAAAACAAGAATTGATTTTGAAAATCAAAATGAAATTTTGAAAAATGATTTAGAGTTTTCAAAAGTCAAAATCAATGATTTAGAAAAAGAAAATTTTGATTTAAAATGTAAGCTTGAGGGCTTAACAAAAGAAAAAGAATTAATTTCTCAAAACAAATCATTATGTTTAAAAATGGATAATTCTCACATTGTCATTTTTATGGTCATTTAGAAAATACTTGTCCCATAAAGAAAATAAAATCTTTTAAAATAAGACAAGTTTGAGTTCCTAAGGGAACAAGGGACATTGAAACTAATGTTCAAGAAACCAAAGCAATTTGGATACCAAAATCTACTTAAATGTCTCTTGTAGGTGTGTGGAGCAATGGTGATCAAAGTGAAGTTATTCAAATGCTCTAGCCACACTTGAAAAGGAATGGGTAACCTCTAAGCTTAATGATTTTGATTTTGATTATTTGGTTGCTCCTTTAGTTTTAAGCATGCATGAGTTTTGATCTTAAATGGCTATGTTTTGTTTTTCATCTCATGTATGTTGAAAAAGTTTTATGATGAACATTTTAAATTTTTAATATTTTTCATAATTTTTAGTTCATCATAATGAATTTTGGTCAAAATTCATTTTCAATGCAAATGATATCTCTTTAACAATTGATATCAACTTTTCAAATGCCTTGTTTTTACAAATTTTAAAATTTTGACCTAAATTTAAATGTTTATGCATGTGTTTTAAATGTTAAAGATATCTTTCTAACAATTGATATCAAATTCTTCAAATGCATAACATTTTTGAAAGTTTTATTCACATGTACTTAATTTCAATTATTGGTATTGCATAAAGTATTTTAGACTTGGGTATATTGAATTTCAATTGCTGCTAACATGTTTGTTACTCTTTGTTGAAATTCAATTTTTTTTAAGTGTCAAGTTTTTTTTAAAGTCAATTTTTTTAAGGCACTTTTTGATGGCGAGCTTTGATTTTTCAAATGTTTTTAATGACAAGTTTATCACTTACTCTCCAATGTTATTTTAGAACTTTAAAGTTGAATTCTTTTTGATCTAACAAAAAGGGGGAGAAGTATGATATGTTTGAAAAAATAGTTTCAGTTGCATTCTTTTGCTCTTGACTCATATCGGCAAGTAGTCTCCTAAGTCATATCACTTGGCATGCTGAAGAAGTGGCAGCAACATATTCTGCCTCTGAAGAAGAAAGTGCTATCACAACTTGTTTTTTCGAACTCCATGTAATGGCACCTGAACCAAGACTGAAAACATATCCATAAGTACATTTTATGTTATCCAATAAACATGCCCAATCGCTATCACTGAAACCAACAACCTAAAATTAGGAACTTGAGAATACCAAATTCCATAATCTCTAGTACTAAAACTGGAGGGCTTGAGAATACCAACTTTCATGTTCTGATAAATAGAGGACCTGTTATCACAAAAAGTATGAGATAAATAAATGAGACCACCAATCAGACTTCTGAAGGCTTTTGCATCTATTTTCTCTGTACCATCTTCCAACTGTAATTTCTCATTAATATCCATTGGAGTAGCAGCCATCTTGCAACTTAACATGTTAAATCTCTTGAGAAGGTCCGCAACATATTTTCTTTGAGAAATGAACACCATCTTTTCCTTAATTTCTATCTCAAGGAAATAATGTAGCAAACCCAAATCTGTCATCTCAAATGTTTGCATCATGTTTACTTTAAATTCATTAATAAGAGAAGCATATGTACCCATGTAAACATACAGATAAACAAGCAGCAAATCAATGTTACCTCTCTTCTTGAGATATAATGTAGGCTCGTTATCACTTCTTTGAAATCCATTTCGCCAAAAATGAATCAATTTTGTTGTACCAAGCTCAAGATGCCTTCTTCAAATCATACAATGTCGTTCTCAATCTATACACTTTATCTTCCATCCCTTCGATAACGAATCATCTTGTTGCATAACATATATCTCCTCATCCAAGTCGCTATGTAAAAAGACAAATTTGACATCAAATTGAAAAATAGGCCAACGTGATTGCGCAACAATGGCTAAAAAGGTTCTCATTGTTTCAAAGCAAGCAATGGGAGAAAACGTATCATCAAAATCAATGCCTTGTTGCTATGCATACCCATAGCCACCAACCAATCTTTGTGCTTCTAGATGATTCCATGTGAATTTTATTTCGTCTTGAAACACCCATTTTAACCAATAACATTTTTACCATCAGGTTGTTGGGAAATAAACCGAGTACAAGTAATTTCCCTATAACCAGATTAGTGAGAATGCGAAATAAAAGAGAAAAAATAATACCCAAAATTGATAACGGAGTTCAGCCAATTTTGCCTACGTCTCTGGACTGCTGTAGATCTTTTACTAAAGAGAAAATTTACAGGTGTTTACAAAACACACTTGAGAGAGAACTATAAGATTTTGGGATGATTTTGAAGCTAAATGAGCTAGGGTATTTATAGTTGAAACTTAAGGGTTAATATTGTAAATACCCTAAAGTTCAATGACTCAATTTTATAATTATCCCTATTACAAAATAATAATAAAAATTAGCAGCCCCCCCACTTGTTTTTTGTAGCCGTCGGCTGCTTGAAGAAATTTCAACAATCTCCCACTTGAAGACTAATTTTAATTTATCTTCACACCTCAATCGATGCAGCATCATTTCTAGTCTTGTTATTCTAGCATGCCAACTGAAGCTGAACACAACTTCAATTTGTCCGTAGTCACCGTCTTTGTCAACATGTCTGCCGGATTTTGAGTTCCACTGATCTTTTCAAGTTTCAAAATCCCTTCTTCCAGAAGAGATCGGATAAAATGATATCTCAATTGTATGTGCTTCGTCCTGGAATGAAAAGACAGATTCTTTGCTAGATGGATAACACTTTGACTGTCGCAATATAAGACATTGTTTTCTTGTTTCTTGCCTAACTCTTCCAAGAAACTTTGGAGCCAAACCATCTCCTTGCTGGCTTTCATAACAACGACATATTCTGCTTCAGTTGTGGAGAGAGCAACTATCTTCTGTAGTTGAGAATCCCAACTCACTGTAGTTCCTCCGAGAGTATAGACATACCCTGTAGTGCTTCTTCTGATGTCGACATTTCTGGCTAAGTCAGCATCTACATAGCCTGTCAGTATCGTATCTCTACCTTTGAAACAAAGTGATTTGTTTATAGTACCCCGCAGATATCTGAGGATCCATTTGACTGCTTCCCAGTGTACCTTGCCTGGATTATTCATGTACCTGCTAACAGCTCCCACTGCATGAGCAATATCTGGTCTGGTACAAACCATGGCATACATTAGACTTCCAATTGTTGAGGCATACGACACCTTCACCATGTGTGCACGTTCTTTCTCCGTCTTTGGTGATTGTTCTTTGGAGAGTCTAAAATGAACACCTAAAGGTGTACTTACTGGTTTAGCATCTTGCATGTTGAACTTGGAGAGTACTTTGTTGATGTACTCAGCCTGTGATAATATCAAAGTCCCCGACTTTGTGTCTCTCTTGATCCTCATCCCAAGAATCTGCTTTGCAGCGCCCAGATCCTTCATAGCAAACTGCTTCGACAATTCTTGCTTCAAGTGTAAAATCTCTTGCATGTCTGAGCCTACAACGATCATGTCATCAACGTACAACAATAAAATATTGAAGCTATTATTGAACCTCTTAATGTAGCAACAATGATCTGCTTGGCATCTGGTAAAACCACTGCTACTCATGAAACTATCGAACTTCTTGTACCACTGTCTAGAAGCTTGTTTTAAACCATACAAACTCTTCTTCAACCTGCATACCATGTTTTTCTTTCCTGCCTCTATGAAGCCTTCTGGCTACCTCATATTAGATTTCTTCCTCCAAATCACCATGAAGGAAAGCTGTCTTTACATCTAACTGCTCAAGATGTAAATTCTCTGCAGCTACAATTTTCAACACCAGTCTGATTGTAGACAGTTTCACGACTGGAGAGAAAATTTCATTGTAGTCAATACCTGCTTTTTGCTGAAAACCTTTGACAATCAATCTCGCTTTGTAGCGTTTGCTCCCATCGTGCTCTTCTTTGATCCTTTAAATCCACTTGTTATGGAGTGTTTTCTTACCTGGTGGTAATTCAGCTAATTCCCACGTCTGATTTGACATAAGCGAGTCCATCTCATCTTTCATGGAAGACTCCCACTTTACTGAATCATCCACTTGCATTGCTTCATCATAGCACTCTGGTTCACCATTGTCAATCAGCAACAAGTAGTGCAAAGAAGGAGAATATCGTTGGGTTGGTTTAGGAATTCTGGAGGAGCGTCTCAGTTCTGGTGTGCCTAGTTCTTCTTGAACTGCTTCAGGATTGATCTGAACATCATTTCTAGAAATCTTCTCGAAATCAGTAAATTCCTTTGTTTCAACTTCGGTATTAGAGCTACTTGATTCTATGGTTGCCCTATCTTTGTACATCATATTCTCATTGAAAATAACATCTCTGCTTCTGATGATCTTCCAATTTTCATAGTCCCAAAATCGGTAACCGAACTCATCACCACCATAACCAACAAAGACACATTTGTTGGACTTGGCATCAAGTTTACTTCTTTCAGCAAAATCTATGTGTACATAAGAAATACAACCAAACACTCTTAAGTGTGAAAGGTTTATTTATTTCTTGCTCCAAACTTCCTCTAGTATTCTGCCATCTAAAGGAACTGAGGGCCCATAGTTGATCAGGTAAGCTGCGGTGTTGATAGCTTCAACCCATAGAAATTTGGGTAATCCGACATGTATCCTCATGCTTCTGGAACGTTCATTCCGAGTTATGTTCATGCGCTCTGCTACGCCATTCTGCTGTGGTGTCATAGGAACTGTTGTCTCCATCTTGATCCCATTATTTTCGTAGAAATCTTTGAATCTATGATTTTTGTACTCTCCTCCATTGTCAGACCTCAACCGCTTGACTTTCAGACCAGTCTCATTTTCCACCATGGCCTTCCATTTTCTGAAGGTATCAAAGACTTCTGATTTTTTCTTCAGAAAATAAACCCACACCTTCCTTGTTAAATCATCGATGAAGGTGACATAATATAGTGAGCCTGCAAGGGATGGAACTGGAGATGGTCCTCATACATCAGTATGAACCAACTCTAACTTTTCTACCTTGGGTGTCTTGCCAATCTTTGCAAAACTGACTTTCTTTTGTTTTCCAAAGATGCAATCCTCGCATAGTCCGACATCTATATTCTTTAGATCCGACAACTTCCCTTTTGACAAAAGTGTCTTCATCCCTTTCTCGCTCATATGACCAAGCCTTTGGTGCCATAGGTTTGATTTTCCATCAGTATCTGCTGCAGTAATGATATTCTCTAAGTTTGAGGTTATATAGAGAGTGTCAACCTTCTTACCACGAGCAATGACGAGTGCTCCTTTGGTAATCTTCCATTCACAGCCTGAAAAGGTTGTAGTATAACCTTCTCCATCAAGTTGTCCTATAGAAATCATTTCTTTTGAGGCCAAGAATATGTCTCACTCCTTTCAGCGTCCAGGTGGTCTGGTTTGGCAACTTTAGTTGGATGTCTCCTTTTTCGACGATCTTCAAGGTTTCATCATCAGCTAGATGAACCTTCTTAAAATCACCACTAACATAGTTCTCCATGATTTCTCGGCATGGGGTGGAGTGGAAAGATGCCCCTGAATCCAAGATCCATGATTCAATCGGACTGTTGACACTTAGAATCATGGCATCACCTGTCTCCTCTGTCACGTTGGCAGATTCCTGTGCGCTGGTATTTTTCTTCGGTGCTCGGTAATCTCTTTTAAAGTGACCCTTCTTGCCACAATTATAACAGGTAAAATCTTTCTTTCCTGTTCTTGATTTTCCCGTTCTGGATTTGGATATGCCAAGATTTGAATTTCTTTCTGAAGTTCCCCCTCTGCACTTTGTGTGCAAGGCTGAGGAGGTTGATGCTTCATCCGATTCTCTCCGTTGAATTTCTTCGCTCAGTACCAGATCCCGAACATCGTCGAATTTTAATTTGTTGTTTCCCGAAGAGCTACTGACTGCTGTAACAGTAGCATTCCAACTGTCTGGTAGAGATGATAAGAGAATTAAAGCTCGAACTTCATCATCGAATTCAATTTCCACTGAACTCAATTGGGTTATAATTGTGTTGAGTTCATTTAGGTGTTGTGCCATCGATGCCCCTTCCTTCATACGCAAATTGAATAATCGCCTCATCAAGTGCACTTTGTTTAAGGCTGATGGCTTCTCATACATACTGGAGAGATCCACCATAAGACCCGCCGTGATCTTTTCCTTTGCTATGTTGAAAGCAACATTGAGGGATAACGTCAGTCGGATAACTCCGAGGGCTTGTCTGTCGAGAAGGGCTCAGTCTTCATTCTTCATGCCCTCTGGTTGTTTTCCTGAGAGAGGTTGATATAGATTTTTCTGCTACAAAAAATCTTCAATCTGCATCTTCCAAAAGCCAAAGTCCGCACCATCGAATTTTTCAATTTTCACATTCCCTTCGTCTACAGCCATCGCTCCCACTCGAATCTGGCTTCGTTTGGATCGTTTCTGACAATTATTGCGAACCACCATGTATTAAAACACCTCCGTCGACAAATTCGTATCGCCGACAAAATTTTACTATTCACTATTCATGTGAATAGTAATGAATAGTAACCTCGCAAAAAATTGACAAAA